AATCAGTTTGAAAATAGTTTGACGTCCAATATCGTGCAAGTCTCACGCGGTCAAAAAGCCGGAACTCACGCTGTCATCAACGTGTTAAGGTGTTCTGATTTTGTGATTTCACCCTTCTTTTGTGCCTCTCGTCAAAAATCTGTCCAGACCAATAATCCTCCCCTGCATAGCGCCCACGAACACAAAAGAAGCAAAATACGACCCCCTCCATACACCAAAATGAGTCCCTTCGGAGGGGAGTGTGCAACAAAACTCTTCACCCCACGTGGATCATAAAGGCTACCCCCTTTTGCTTCCCACAAGGAAGTAATTGACCAAATGTCAGAAAATTCGACCAAAGTTCCCCTCTGCAGTTCGCCGCCTGGGAGCTTCTCTATTGATTCTTCTGCGTACGAGATTCTCAATGATTTCAAGTTGCAGTTTAGGTACTCGACCGCTGCTGAGTTCTCTTGAGAAATTGGTGGATAGCTTATGTCCAGATGATAGCGGGCCGTGTATGACGGATACGCAACTGCTAAGGTGAGCACCTTATAGAATTGCCCTATCTTTTTATTTTCTACCTCTAGGGGTACCCTGACAGGAGGCCCGTCGCGCGGCAAGAAGGCAGAGTCAGCGGACGAGTCGCAGCGCGTACTGTAGTGATTTCGCGTCAAGTTAAATAGAATGTCCCATTGCACGTCCTACATCGCACATCACGCGCTGCGACTCGTCCGCCGACTCTGCCTTCTTGCCGCGCGACGGGCCTCCTGTCGGGTACCCACCTCTATACTGATCAAAAACGACATTTGGAAGAGTCACTCTTCACGCTCCCTCACTCGTCTCGAAGTGAGATGGATTTCAGTTGAAATTTGTCCGCGACTAAAGATTTGGCCAGAAAGTTGTCCCGGGGTATTTCAACCCGTAGAACACGAATATCACATGGTTTAGCGCGAAAACGCCTGGCGCCGCGCCACAGGCGCCGGCGCTATCACAACAGTTTTGCGCCGGCGCCCGCAGCGCAGGCTACAGGCTCACTCGCAACGAACTAATGTGATATTCATGTTCTACGGGTCAAACTACCTCTGAAGACAAGTTTCCAGCGAATTTGGTGATCCGAGATGTTCTGGCGCCTTTTGGCGCCGGCGCTTCTGGCGCGAGCGCCAGGCGTTCTAGCGGTAAACAAATGTGATATTCGTGTTCTACGGGTCGAACTACCCCCGAGAGATAAGTTTCTAGCCGAATTAACCGTCACAGACGAATTCCGAAGAACATCCGGCTTGAGGAGTAGGGCGGTAAAAGGGTGAATAGTGCCGCAGTTTTTAACGCCTTTGAGATTTTGAATGGATCAGTCGGCGTAATCCGTGGACAAAACTGTGTTCTCTTTCATTTACGCTTCGATTTTCAGTGAGGCCCGTGAGGAATTGGAAAATGCTTTGTCAGTGAGAGACACAGCTATTCTCTGCGAACATCTTCAACGAGCCCTCGACATATTCGGTCAAATGGCCGGTTCCACTGTCAGTGAACAAATTCTTGATGATCTTTTCAAACAGTTCTGTATAGGGAAATAAGATTTGTACAAACAAGAAGCAAAAGTAGTAATTTCTTTATTAAATATTACTAAATGAATATGTTTAATCAGAGATATGTGATTAGATCTATAATATATTGAGCGTTTCTTTCAAATACACGATTTGAGTGAGTTGAGCGTTGAAGACGTGAATCACGGGAGGTCATCGTTGCTGAAGTGGAAGTCGGACGACTTGCCCAGGTGCAGGTATGTTGCTGTAAAAGAGCGGATAGAATCTAGAGAGCTAGAGCAAAGAGCTTGGCGCCATTGCAAGGATAACATAGACACTTACGCTAAATCGGTCTTGTACTGCATTCCATTATCGGTAATTCCTACTGTAATATTTACAGACCATTTTTATTGATCTATATAAGGGAAAGAATTTTTAGCATAGTAGCAGTCGTAAAGCTTTCACTATAGCATAACAGTTGAGCGTCTCTGATCGCGTAGAAACGCCATATCGATACCTAACGATCGTATACAGAAAAGCGATATTTATTATATCGCCCATGACATCGTTTCTGAGTGAGCCCATATCTCCAGAATAAGAAACGAGAAGAAGAAAAGATTGCGTTTGTTCCGTTCAAATAATTTTGTGAAAACAAGCTTTGTTCTGTTAAGCGCTGAAAGGCAGCGGATCACGATAGAAGCGAGGCATCGGGGCAAGCACATGCACCGACATGGACAGTTATCTTGGCTACCGAGTGAAGCCAGTGTATGCGCTTCATGACGAAGGTTCGCTGGTTGCGACGCAGCGCCGGAAAGCCCTCCGCCCTTTAAAGCGATCCCACGCGCACCTATCTTAGTTGGGCGCTTTGGACCGCAGCAGGGTTGCCCAGGTGCGGCACGACAGGGCAACTCAGTTATGTAGTGTGTTTAGCGTCGTGTTTACTATAGCGCGTCTTGTGCGCTGAGATTCGTAACATTACGCCCGCTTCTGAGCTTGTCACTCTTTCACTGAGTGAACCAACGGCCAAAAAACGGGGTCCCGTTTTGCATTTTTCTGGCGGGTTTGTCCCCTTTTTTGCCGCCGACGTATCATTGATACCACTGCGTCTCTTCTATACACTTCTTGAACCAATCGTAATCGTGCCTTTGAAATTCCGCCGTTCATTCTTCACAATATTGACGCGCGGAACCGCATCCACTGGTTCTCTCGGGCTTGCCTTCTCTATGCTGAACGGCGGTCGGTTTTCGTCTCAAGTTTGATCCATTTAGTCCGATTCTATACCATGCGTCCTTTACTCGTCCTCCGACCTGACCAGCGACGTCCTAGACGTGTTTGTTTTTTGCAGGGGATTTCATTTCTCATCGAAATCCTGAGGTCTTCATTTGCGTGAACTCTTTTGGATATAATCTATCGCTAGTTCAATCGCCACAGCCAATTGTATCGAATCTTGTTCCTAAAACATTGGCGAAGAAATACAAGAACTCCTCTAACCAAAATTTATTTAATTCCATGGCATGAGCTGTGTTCGAGGCTCAGACCCACTTAATGAGCCTTTACGGTGGCTAGAAGCGCTAGGTACGCAAGTGTAGAGGTCGCGTCACTTCCCTACTTCGAAAAGCGTTATTTAGACGCTAGGCGCTAAGAACTTTGACACGCTCCACCTGCTGCGACACGCTCCGCCCACCGCTCGATATCTTGTCTGCGTCGAATGTTGATCTGCTATGCTCTCTCTACACTTCTCTAGCGCTCTCCGCGCTCACATTATCTCTCATCTCCCTGCCGGCCTTTTGAACTTCTCCGCAGCGTAGAGCAAAAGGCTCGTATTTCCTGTGCATTTCACGATTTTTTTTTCTTTTTTCTCCACTGGCGGTCCACCTCCTATCCCTACTTTCACATTTGAGTGGAATCAACCCATCAATTTAATCCTGATCTTGCCTTTAAGGTTATTTGGGCAGTCAGCTGGCAAGCGCCTGATACGTGGCCGCTCCAAGGCGCACTTCTCCCGTGCGTCCTTTGGCTCACCCGACCTACCCGCGACCGTCCCCAGTGTGGTTTTCGTAGTTTGTTTCTCTTCGGAAACTGAATCTTTGTGCGTGAAACTTTGTACGTTGTCTCTAAGGATCACAAACGACGTACCCTCCCTTTCAAAAAACGAGAAGAGCGTCGGGTGCAGACCATACACCACAAGTGACGACGGCCTCCAAGTAAATCTGGTTAGTAGTGGTTCATAGTGATAGCTGATTTTTGGTAAATGATAGTTGTAATTAGTGACAACTGATAGAATACAACTGCAGGCTAATCATTTCAAAACATTTACATTTTGTGGAGGCCGTCGTCACTTGTGGTGTATGGTCTGCACCCGACGCTCTTCTCGTTTTTTGAAATTGAGTAAATTCATCTTGGAGAGGAACTAAAGAAATTTCCGTAAACGATATTTCTTAGGTTATTCTGACAGTTGATCTTGAGTTCGCTGGATATGTATATATAGATAGGCGAGCCTGCGGAAAGCATTGTCTCACCTCATCTCCTTCGATAAGCACTTCCACGTCTTGCAGTGGTCCCAAGTTTCACAGCGTCGGCGTCAAAGTTGTGCTTCTGAAGGGAAGTCTCATGGAATCCATAAAAAAACTGTGCGATGACTGCCCTGTTTCGCGCAGCTGCGGCACAGTTCAACACATCTACCATTCTTCTGTAAACTCACAGAGCCTTCAGCGTACGGGACGTTGTCGTAGAAGGTCCTCATACCACTGTCGCCATCTTCACCGATAACGTTAATAACGGCCCGGAATGATCCAGTGCTGGCAATGGTCGCCAGCGAAATCGAGTAGAGAATATCTGTAAAGAGAAGTTTTGATTCAAATCGATATTGATTTTACGTTATACTTGTTGGAAATTGCAAGCAGCCTTAGTTTCGGAGGGCAAGTTGTGCATTGTTGGGAAGAGATCAATCAATTGTAAGTTTTTCATGATTTCCTATACCTCCAACCAGACCTAACCCTATCCATCGGCGCTTGAGGGATCAGGCGACCAAGCCAATCCCTTCCATCACCTTTGTGCGTGATTACGCTCTCACAGAGATGACACCACGCTC